TCGCCAAAGTGGCGAAGCGACCGCTGCCCATAGACATCCGCAATTGCGGATGCGTTGCCTACCCTTATCCGACGGAGGAGACGCACATAAAAAGCATATTTCCCCTTCCTATGCATCTCCTCCACTGTCAAATCCACTTCCTCTTCCCAACCTTTCTTTACAAGAAAAGGGTGGTAAAGAGAAAGGGACTTAAATTAGGCCTCCGGCACCACACTCATCAGACGAAACACGGAATTGTTTCCATTTCACGCCTGTCTTCTGTGTGGTCGTGTATTACACCGGGCGTGCCGGCCTATTCGTGCTAAGATGTTAAAGCGGGCACTACCAATGTTGATTATGCAGTCATTGTTTTTAATCTACTTTTGTTCTCTGTTTTTAATAGGAAAGGAAATCTTTTGATAACTAAAAAAAAAACTACTATACAGGGAAAAATGTGTACCTTGGACCGACCACACAGAAGACAAGCGTGAAGTGGAAGCAATTCCGCGTTTCATCTGAGTGTGATGCCAGAGTCCAGAGGCCCAATTTTAGTCCGTCTTCCTTTCACTCTCTTTCCTATAAGAATAGGACAGGATGGGACGTATGAACGTGGATTTGACGCTAGAGGAGACTCGTAGAAAGGGGAAATATCCCATTTATGTGAGTTTCCTTCGTCGATTAAGGGTAGGCGATGCTTCCGCTATTGCGAATGTCTATGGGCGGCGGTCGCTTCGCTATTTTGGCGGATTCAGGTAGCCGCTTGATCGTTTGCCACCTTATATTAAAAATAAAAAACTACCACAGATTCCTTAGTCGAATATGACAATTCGACCCAACTTACATCTATTCAAAGTTGTTTTGTTTGGGCTCTATAGGGTTCTAAAGCTTGCTAATTATTTTACGTTTATTTAAATATTTCGATTTACAACCGTATAATGGAATCCTTACTACTACATACGTAATAACAACTTACTTAAATGACACTTGTAATGGAATAAAAATTAGTCCTTCATTAAAAACACAAAATTCTTAAATTGTTGACAATCGAACACTACGTCACAAATCTTAGCGTATTTACGATTTGAAGGTGCCCGTGTACCCGAAATGTTTACAAAAATTTTACAAATGTTGCCATATACAAAAATCTATTCTATTATTATTTGCGAACGTTAATGGATCGAGTGGGAGGCACCGACTGGAGTTATACGCGGCGTGGGCGAGGTTTATTTATAAATTCTATAAACAAAACAATAATTACACCGAAACTGTAACAAATATGATTGTTATTTGTATTTTGTCAGCTGTTTTCTGCTACTTCCACACGTTTTTCACAGGTAAAGATTTTCCCGCGTATTTTTATATGTAAACTACTGAACCAATTTTTAAACAGTGACCAAGTAAGGTAAGTAATTGGTAGTTTAGTGTCATAAAAGCGTAAAATTATTGTTTATTGTCCTTCCAAAGCTAATAGAAACACTTTTTTTACACAACTTTTAAGGTCAATGAGTCCCTTAGGCAACCTATCTTGTACCTATTTTACAAGAGGTTCTTTTGTGTCTCTTACCTTACCGATTTTAATGTTCGATTTCTACGTCATTTCCTTTTTTCGTTTGCCATGTTTGACTTCGTCTGGGTGAAATTAATAAATAAAAATATAGCCTATATGTATGTTACTGATAATGAAATCACACAAACACTAGTAGTTTTTGAATTATTTCAATACATACAAAAATACAATTCTTTCTTTATAACATTGTATATAGATTGAATCGTTAGGTTTTTGACGAAAATAATGTTTTTTGTGAGATTTTTATTTGGTATAAAATGGATGACTGTTTAAGCTGCTAGTAAATAGATGGCGTTGTTCGTTTTCTATATGTCAGTGGCATTTTGTTTCTAAATATCACAGAATTGATCGCTATGTAAATATTCAAATATAGTAGTGCAAAGTAAAGTCTAGTGTTTTCTTTTGTGGTCCCGTTCTCCATATTAAACAATGACATTGTGATGTTTTTACATATTTTTATGCAATATAGTAATAAAACTCACATTAATTTGATTATGATCTATATTTCTTTAAATAAAACATAATTAAAAACTTGATGGAATCATGTTGCCGTGGAAATGTATTCATTTTTTAACGGCAACACTAAACAAGATGGCATCCACTATTGGTTAACTGCTTGTTTATACTACTTCTTGCTTGAGACCATTTCTTCTAAAGCTTTGAGTTCAGCTGCAATAGAAAAAAAACAATTGTTTTATTTATTCTACTAAAGATATGTTTATACAAAAAATGTACTAATAATTTAATAAATATTTTTACAGTAATAAACAGTGATATATATTTTCATATAAAGAATTTGATTTGTATGTATTGTATCGAAATAACTCATACATTACTCTGCCAATTTCAAATATTCTTTCAACATAAGAAAAGGATAATAAAAAAGAGACTATAGCTTCCGGCACATACACTGATCAGATTT